TAGTACAAATAAAGAAAACCCTTGAATGAGTAGGTGTTCTAAAACTTTTGACCGGTAGTGTATATTGGAGACTCAATTAAAGGACCGTTTCAAATATGTAGTGAGCAAACTCAATGGATTAAGGGCGTAAATGGAAAGTGTATATTTACACTCTTGGTTGCTATTGTGTAGGCTAGTTATACTCCGTTACTTGCAGAGTATGTAGCTCTCATGCATTTCATGTCTGTGCCATTTTCTTCTCACCTGATGGTGGATGTCTCCACACCTTGGCACATGTGCACTCTTAGAAAAAAAATGGTGCTATCTAGAACCTAAAAAGTTTATTCGGCTTTCCCCATAGGATAACCCTTTGAAGAACCCCTTTTGGTTCCAGATAGAACCCTTTTGGTTCCAGGTATAACCCTTTTGGATTTCATGTAAAACCCTTTCCACAGAGGGTTCTACATGGAACCCAAAAGGGTTCTTATACAGGCGAAAGAAATGCACACCTATTTAGGCGAGGTGCTGGCTAACGGAGTAGAACACTTGAAAAAGAAAAGGAGAGCCGCACACTCTAGGAGCTCAGATGCAATAATTTAATAACCTAATAACCAACGTTTCGACAGACAAGCTGTCTTCAAAAGGGTTCTACCTGGAACCAAAAAGGGTTCTCCTATGGGGATAGCTGAATAATCCTTTTGGAACCCTCTCTCTCCCCTTCTATCCCAAATCTTTCACACCCACAATCATCTCTCTCTTTGGCCATCCCTCCACGTCACTCTCCATTTATCTCTCTTCATCCCTCTCTCCACCTGATACTCTTCTATTCTTTCACTACTGTAATCTCCCTCTCCATCCCTCCACCTGTCTCCATTCTTCTCTCTTTATCTCCCGTTCCACCTGATACTCCCCTCACATTCTGTTTCATACCGTCATCTCTCTCCCACCTCTCTCTCCCATTAATCTCATTACCCCTTCCTTCACCTGATACTCCCATTGCACTGTATCACTTCGTCATCCGTCAGTTCACTCAGTAATCCACAGCTCTAGAATGAGATCATTCTAAAACGTCTTGTTGAAATAGTTCACATTCAAAACTACAATAACAAGTGAAACAGTTGTGAATCAGTGTTCTTTCAGATAACAGAACAGAGATTACACTGAGAAAATATTTATTGGAATGTGGTTCCCTGGAGGTAGCTGGGAACCGGCTGACCATTAAGGGGCAGCATAGCAGTCCAAACTCAGCAATGTTGCTTAGTAACAAGTTGATCCCGGACCATTGCTTACGGATCAGTGCATTTAGTGCTGACCTGTCTGATTCACAGGTCAAGAGCCGGTATAGCAGGCATAGCTCCAGCCAAGTAGCTTACCATCCCGAAGTAACACAAAGTGTCATGACAGTGTTAGGTCAGTTGTCATAAGCAGACATCAGCTCTCATGACATGTGTTATATCATTATTATGACACAGTTACTAACATAGTATAGCCCTTATGACAGAGGGTTCAAGTGTTGGGAATAACATATCCAGTGTCTCTTCCCCAAAAAGTAATGCGGCGACATGGAAAATAAGTATATTTTAGAGTTCTGGAACCAAACCTAAGAAGAGAAGGAATGGAAGATAATTAGCTAGAACCAAACCAGAGTTTCGTGTCATGCTTTATCACACTGGTTCAATGTGATGCTAGTCAGATTACGCCTATAGCTGCCTGGTTTCTCTCAGTGAAGAATAAACACTTATAACTGTGTTAAACGCATGCCATCATGGCATGTGTGCATGCACAGTCACATACACCCACCCATACACAACTCCCCCTCTCTACAACTGTTTACTTCATTTCAATTACATTTATGAAGCTTTATTGGTATGAAAAGTGAAGGAACTTACATTGCCACATCATATTTTACCAACAGCAACATCAGTACCAATGTTTGACAGAACACTTTAAAGATGTTTCCTGTTTCTTTGTCCTCGCTCTAGCAGTTGTAGGTCAGGGGGGGGTGGGGTGGGGGTGGGGTAATGATGACAAGTGCCTGGATTAGGAACTGCGCAGCTTCCTGTGTGAGGTAGGGTCGTACTCTATGGATGTTGTAGCGCATGAACCTGCAGGAGCGAGTCACTGCTTTGATGTTTGCAGAGAATGACAGGGTGTTGTCCAGGGTCACGCCAAAGTTCTTTGCACTCATGGGTCTGTAGGGAATGTATAGTCATACAACACAATCAAAAGAAACCACTAACTAACTGGGTGGGACATACCATTGCCTTCTAATCCCTGCTAGGAAATGAGGTAGCCCTTTCCTGCAGTCAATGACCAAAAACGCACTCTTTGGCCTCATGGGTGGAATGTTATTAATATTTTTCATAATTTCATAATTATTATTTTTTTATATATATGGAAATGTGGTGTTTCTATGTCAAACATTTTGTTTTATTTCATTCTGTGATGTATATCAAGTGTAATATTGGGATGCAAACTCAAAAGGGAATACATTTCAACTCTATATCTGACATGGCACAGGTGTCTTCTTTTTTTAAAGCCCATAACCATGTGTGTGAGGTTGTTTCAAAGTAGATTTGTTTAAGACTACCAAGAATCACTCTGTGTGACCCTGATTTAGCCCACTGCAGTAAAAGGTTAAACTCCAATCGACAAAAAAAACTAAAAAACATGCTGACTTTTAAGAGATGTTCTTGTTATCTTGTAAACTCCTACCAACATAATAGGGGTGTGCAACTGTGTGTGTTTGTGTGTGAGAGAAAGTGTGTGTGGGTTTTAGTGTGGGTTTAAACACATGCATGTGTGTCTGTTGGGTCTTGTAAGAGCTGGTTTAGTAGGATCATTGCCAGGCCACAAACCAGTCCTACACAGACACACTGCATTGAGGGATTGTCAGACAATGTTTGTGTATGTGTGTGTTTGTATGTGTGATAGACACACGTTAATGATGGAAGACAGGCACTAGGCGTGTGTGTGACAGATAAAATATGAAAGTGAGTGACGTCAGGCACACAGGCTCAATGTTGGCAGGAACATATGGCCTGGTCTGATAGGCCAGAGGGAGGGACAGCAGGGGACCAGAGCAACTCATGCTCTGCCAAAGAGGCTCAGCCAGGGGTAGAAAACACAGCCTGAATTAAACCAGGGGTTTTCCTCCCTCCAGATGACAAACAACTGGCTTAAAAGGGGTATGTACTCTGCTCTGTTTGTGTGTGTGTGTGTGTGTGTGTGTGTGTAAGTCCCACAAATCTTGCAGAGTCATCCCAGTGAAAGACTCAAGGAGTCTGTGTTCTAGGAAAATCTACTCTTTGTGCCTGGTGAGTTGATTAGCTTCACGTTCCTGAGCAGTGCGTGTGTGTGCAGTTTGACCTCATTATAACAAAACACCAGCCCAGTCAGCCACAGGGGATGAGTCAGAAAACCACCAGCCAGCTGAGGTGTGTGCATATGTGTGTGTGTGTGTGTGTGTGTGTGTGTGTGTGTGTGTGTGTGTGTCGGTAGGTCAGGTTTATATCTTGGTCTTGGTCCCATGCAATGACCACAGTGCTGGAGTCTTCCTCAGTCTCTTTCCATCTTTCCATCTTTCTTTAACTTTAAGTTGTTCTCTTTTGTCTTTCCCTCTGTCTTCCCCTTCTCCCTATCTCTCTCCAAGGGTGAGTCCTGGTTAGTCACAGTTTACAGAGAGGCATTGGGGCTTAAAAGGGTTCTGCAGTGCATCTCTAGTCTGATGTGTGTTTACAGAGAGAGAGAATTAGATTAATTTACATTTATTCCAATGTTTATTTTATGGCAACGACTGTGATATGTGGTTGTCTTACCTTCCCTAGTAAGTCGCTCTGTTAAATGACCAAAATGTAAATGTAAACATAAAATTCCATTAGCAGATGCTCTTATCCATAGCATCCTTCAGTACTGCCAAATAGCACGATCATCACACCTTCACCATCGCCACACATTTAAAAATACAAAGGTTCTTTAATGTCAGATTCAACTAAGTGTGTAGTCTGGTTACAAAATGTAGCAAACCCTGTAGTAGTGCAAACAAAATTTTTGGAAAGCCAATTTAGTGGAGTCAAACTCTGTAAAGTTGTCCCCCCCCCTCTTCTCATCGCTCTATTTTGTCATTAGTCATTCTACCCGTCCTATATCCGCACACCTCTTTAGAAACTGCTTTCAGACTGGCTTGGAATGTTGGGAGAGGGCTTTAGCAACGTTTTGTGAGCTCACACACTCATACACAGTTTACACACACACACACACACACACACACACACACACACACACACACACACACACACACATGAGCTCGTGAGACTTCTCCTCGGTGGCAAACTGTGCTTAGTTGTTTGTCACTGTTCTCTGTCCCTCAGGACTAACCTTAACCCCTAACCCTAATTGTAACCCTAACCCTAATTGTAACCCTAAGCTTAAAATAGCCTTTGTCCTCGTGGGGAAATGTTCCTTGTTTTACTATCCTTGTGGGGATTTTCAGTACCCACGAGGATAGTAATACAAGCCCCCACACAGTGACTTATCCAAAGCGACTTACAGTCATATGTGCATGCATTTTACGTATGGGTGGCCCCAGGAATCAAACCCACAACCCTGGCGGTGCAAGCTCCATTCTCTACGAATTGAGCTACAGATGACCGCACACACGCACGCACGCACGCATAGCTATAACTTCCTTCCTGTATGTCAGTAGACCTCCAATTCCCGAAATGTTCCACCTGTCCCACCATTTCCCTTTCCATCTGTCTTACTCAAAGGAAGGGTCAGGGTGAGGATTAGAGGAAGGGGTAGTATTGAAGAGTTCATCCATTCGCTACACACATCAGAGTAGCACACTCATGACATTGGATCTATTGTTTTTTGTTTTTTTTCTCATAAGTTGTGACTGCGTCCAAAGGATGTTGAGTGCTTGATATGTATGTTCCCAATGACTTGACTTGTCCTGAATCAACCAAAACAGTCTTTCTTCACATGGCTTAGTAGAACCTTAAATCATTTGTATTTATTTTCCAGCAGAAAAGATCCAGACACAACCATGGCCAGAGTATTGGGACTGCTGCTCTTCCTGTCAGCTCTCTGCTGCTCTCTAGCGGACAAAGTAGGTACCACATCCACTGCACTAACAACAGCTCCAGGTAGAAGTTGCACTTAGGTGCAGATCTAGGATCAGCTTAACCTATAGGACCAGCTTAACCTATAGGACCAGCTTAACCTCGCAAAATGCATGAGGTGAAAAATGCTAAACTGAGTCTAGAGTTCATCACTACTGTTGCCATGCAGACAGTTAACTTAATCACTACTGTTGCAATGCAGACAGTTAACTTCATCCACTACTGTTGCCATGCAGACAGTTAACTTCATCACTACTGTTGTAATGCAGACAGTTAACTTCATCACTACTGTTGCCATGCAGACAGTTAACTTCATCACTACTGTTGCCATGCAGACAGTTAACTTCATCCACTGCTGTTGCCATGCAGACAGTGTGTGTTTGTTGGTACTGTGGAGCTTTGAGCTCATTTCTCTTACCTCTCCCATGGCAGGTTGACCTTCGTCACACCAAGAAAGGGACAAGCTACTATAAAGGTGAGCTTGGACTGCCCTCTCTGCCCCCTCACCCTCTTACCCCCCACTTCTGGCCCTCCCTTCACACCACAGGAGGCTGCTGAATGGAGGAAGGCTCATAATAATGGATGGAATGGAGTGAATGGAATGATATGTGTTGGATACCTTTCCATTTCTTTTCCGTTCCAGCCATTACTTTGAGTCCGTCCTCCCCAATTAAGGTGCCACCGGCCACCTGTGCTTCACACTAATCATGTGTTAGCTACAATGAATCATTTGTTTGTGTATCACCTACGCCTTCTCTTTTCATGTGTATACATTATGTATCTGTCTCTCATTTTGTAGTAAATTACATTACTATGTGTCTGTGTCTCTCTGTGTTTTTGTCTTTGTCTCTGTCCCTGTGTGTGTTTCTGTGTGTATGTGTCTCTGTGTATGTGTGTGTGTGTGTGTGTGTGTGTGTGTGTGTGTGTGTGTGTGTGTCTGTGTGTGTGTGTGTGTGTGTGTGTGTGTGTGTGTGCGTAGCACGGTGTGTGGATGGCCAGTCGGCTGTGGTGCGTAGTCTTGGGGACACGTGGATGAGATGGAGGCGACAGCGTGCGGAGTACTGCAGCTGTGCATCACCAGGACGAGTGCGCTGTCACTATGTGCCAGTCATAAGTGAGTGGAAGCACACACAGACACACATATACATATACTGTATATAGATACAGACACACATATACATATACTGTATATAGATACAGACACACATATACATATACTGTATATAGATACAGACACACATATACATATACTGTATATTGATACAGACACACATATACATATACTGTATATAGATACAGACACACATATACATATACTGTATATAGATACAGACACACATATACATATACTGTATATAGATACAGACACACATATACATATACTGTATATAGATACAGACACACACACACGCTCACACCCCCCTCTAGGCTGGCAGAGTGACAACACTGTTCAGCTTGTTTTTGTGTCTATGTATCTTGTTCTCTTTTCCAGTCTTCCTTTTCCTCTGTTTTGTCTTTGTCTGATCAACAGAACCCCCCCCTTCCCTCTGTCTGCCTGCCCCCATCTCTCCACTCTGTATTTACAGCATCTCTCTCTTCTGTTCCCTTACTTTCCTCCACTATGGCGAGTGGTTGGTGTCATGGAGAGAGAGGGTGTAGTCTAGGATGGAGAGTCATTAGAACACCCACCCATTGTGACTTCACTATGTTTAAACACTCTTGGCATAAACCCTCCCATACACATGTGCCTTCACCCCCACTGAACAACGCTATGACGCATGACCACCCATCTGATGACAGACAAATCACTGTGAGGTCATACGCTGTCAACAGAGACGTGAAACTGGGGTTGAAGCTGTTCTGAAAAATAGAAATGATGAGAGATTGTTTGTGATGTAAAAGAAGTCATGAAATTTGGCATAACAGGTGGGCTCTTCGTCTGTGGCCTAGTAAATATTGTTGTTAGAGAAAAATAAAAAACAACAAAACTCTCCATCCCTCTAGCCTGCTATCAGTCAAGGTGCTACAACGGGGGGACCTGTAAGGAGGCGGTCTACTCCTCTGACTACCTGTGCCAGTGTCCACCAGGCTTCACTGGGGCTCAGTGTGAGATCAGTAAGTAGAGCACAATCAGAGACCACACTACACTGTCAAATACTTCTCCTCTCGGATCATATACTACTGAAAAACAAGGACAAGGAATTGCTATTGAGGCCTATCTATTAGCATCTAGTAGTAATGTTGGCTACTACTATCATTAGGCCAGTAGACACATAGAGAATGGTAGAACGCAATCCTGCTACAATGACTAATAAAGATTATGGAGTTGTGGTCTGTGGTCTGCGGGCCAGCCGGAAAATAAAAATTGTTTACACCCCAGAAACCAAAATCTGGAACACCATGGAACTCAGTGGTTAGCTGACATCAATCTGTTTGTTTCATTCCGTTGGGAGGCCATTGTACACACCCCACCTGCTCAACATTCAACATGTAAATTCAAAACACGTTGACGGTCTAATGAGTGAGTTTACAGCCAAAAGAGTGATCCCAGAGTCATATTATATGATGTAATCTATCAGTGTCATAATTCATCATTGGTCATTTTTTGAAACCACAACGGCCAAACTCTCTCCACATGTGACTCTGAGTGAGCCTAAAAAGAGTGGTATATCCTCTCTACATGAGTTTACTCAGTACTTACGCATGTGTCGTTGCATGGATACCATAAGATCAGAGAGCCAAAACACAGAAGAGATGTGTGAGTGAGTCCTTAGTCATGTAACCAGGATGCATGACGATAGGAGGAAGCCATAGAGAAAGGGCGACAGCTAGACAGACACACAGAGAGACTCTATCAGATCAACATGGTTGTTATGATAATGTATTTCCCCATAGATACCATGTCTGTGTCCCAAATGGCACCCTATTCCCTACATAGTGCTCTACTTTTCACCAGAGACCTATATGCCCTAGTCAAAAGTAGTGCGCTATGAAGGGAATAGGGTGCCATTTGGGACATAACTTATGTGTTGGATTGGATAGACTAATTTCTCTCCCTCTCCACAGACACCAATGAGAAGTGTGTGGTGGGCCAGGGTAAAGGATACCGTGGTATGTGGAGTATCAGTCGGACCGGCTCAGAGTGTATCAACTGGAACTCTACAGCCCTCAGAGGGAAGACGTTCACAGCTAAGAGACCAGAGGCTAACAGCCTGGGGCTGGGCAACCACAACTTCTGCCGGTACACACACACATACACACAAACACACAAATGCACACACATACACACACACACACGCATACATCAATCGAGCACTCAAGAAAAATATTCCCCCCCCCTGTTCTCTCTCTCAGGAATCCAGGCAATGATACTAAGCCATGGTGTCATGTCTACAAGGGAACCCAGATAGCCTGGGAGTTCTGTACTCTCTCCAGCTGCCCTGCAGGTAATGACATGACAACAGAATAGTATACCAATATTTGGTTATGTAGCGGACATGAGTCAAGTCATGGTCATCTGATGAGGTAGTCCAGCCCTGTGAACTTCAAAACCAGTGTCTGCCCTCGGCCCAAGAGGGAATTTCCTCTTGGTCTAAGATGTTTGTTTCTCCCATGGGAGACCCGGGTTCATATCCTGCATGTTACAATGGCGCCGAACGTGGGGTGGTCTCTCATGGGGGAGGAGGTCAAAGGGCAGTGAATGTAGAGGACATGAGTTGGTCATGGTCACGTGATGAGGGAGCCCCGCCTGCAAACTTCAAAACCGGTGTCTGCCCTCGGCAATTTCTTCTTGGTCTAACCGTCTAAAACGTTGGTTGCTCTTGTATGGTTCATATCCCGCATGCTACAGTTACATTGTTGCCTTGCCAAACTATGACAAGTAGACTACTTTACTGACTGTGTGGTCCACAGCGTAAATTAAATCTGAGTTCACCTGTGCCTCACCCTGTGTGTTTTTCCAGACCAGAGCCCAGCAGAGTGTGTTCAGGGCTCAGGGCAGACGTACAGGGGGACGACGGCCATCACTAAGAGGGGCTCCAGCTGTCTCCCCTGGGACTCACCCCTCATCACCAACAAGTTCTACAACGCATGGAGGTCTGAGGCCAGAGAGCTGGGGCTGGGAAGTCACAACTTCTGCAGGTAGGATCATAAACACACAGAGAAACTCTCTCTCACACATGCATACTGGACACATACACTCATGTACGTTGTGATGTCACGAGAGGCTGTGTCCTGGAGGGACGTTACATCCCCCTGAGATGGCTGCAAACCCAGACAGCTATGGCTCCATCTGCTGGTATGGTCGGGAACTCCACCCCTCTATGGCCAATCTTCCCACGCAGCTGAAACAGATCAGGAGCTGATGAGCTGGAGGTTTTGAAGGGAAGAGACACACTGAGAGTGAGTGTGTGGGTTGTGAAGTAACACAGTCTCCAACCTGGGCTCTCTGGAGGACAAGAGTGCTGCACGTCCACTTCCATGAGGAATATAAGGATTTGGAGATACTTACCTTTGGGAAATACTCACCTTTGGATATATTCGCCTGTGGAACTACGGGAGAGACATTGGGAAGGACTTTTTGCTGGGTTGGCCACTAGCTGCAACGTGGACTACAGTAAGGCTGGGGAAAAGTTAACTGAGCGAGTGAGAACTATGATTTTGGATGTGGAAGAGACATCCCTGAACTGTTAACCCTTAAAGAGCCACCAGAGAACAGAATTTGGTTATATTTTCGTTAATTTCCCAAGACCTTTAATAAAATCCTTGTTTTGTTTGAACCTTGTCTCCTTGCACTACTTGAGCAATCCCGCTGAAAGCTGTGTAGCCTCTCGTGACGTCACAGATGGTGGAGAATACGGGCAGCTCAAGCGTTAATAGTGCATGTCAGAGGAGGATACCGAAGGTTTGATCACCCAGTTTTCCAAGTTGGCCGTAGGCTCCCCGCCGACTGAAATGGAGGACATATTGAAAGCCCTGGTTGCTGGCCAGCAAGCCCAGATGCAAGCAACCGTGGCTCTCTTGGAGGAGCAAAAGAAAGCCAACCTTCTGAAGGCAGAGGAATTGCAGTTGCAGAGACAGAGGGTTGTCCAAAATACCCGCCCAATAAAGGCAAGTGACTTTATATCTAAGATGGGAGCTACCGATGACATTGAGGCATACCTGCATGCATTTGAGGCCACGGCCACTAGGGAAGCCTGGCCCAAGCAACAGTGGGTTGGTCTGTTAGCCCCCTTCCTAACCGGGGAATCGCTGAATGCTGTCCGGGACCTGGGCCCTGACCAGGTTACTGACTATGATGCCCTGAAGTCTGAGATCCTCAGCAGATATGGACTCACAAAGTTTGGTATGGCCCAGCGCTTTCACAGCTGGACCTTCCAACCAGACCAACCTCCTCGGGCGCAGATGCATGAACTTGTCCGAATCGCAAGGAAATGGCTGGATCCGCAGAGGAATACAGCAGCAGCGGTGGTGGAGGCCGTTGTGGTGGATCGTTACCTACGCGCCCTGCCTTATGAGGCAAAACGGTTCATCAGTCAACAGGCCTTGACCACGGCTGATCTGACCGTGGAAGCTGTGGAAAAGTACCAGGCCACAGCGGAGATGCTGAATGCTTCCCGAAAAGACCCCAGGAGTGCGGCCCCACCACAAATGGGAAGAACCCGTCCAAAGGACCCCAAGGTCTCGAACCCAGCCACGTCAGGACTTATCCCGGCTCCAGGGGGAGCCAGAAACCAGGCGGGTCCAAGAAGAGTACACCAGGAGGGGGAAACTCGACAGTGTTACCGGTGTGGGGAGATGGGACATATCTCCTGGCAGTGTGGGAAACCAGCCGATGAACCTATGCCCACTGCGGAGTCCTCCAGCTCAGCACCCACACACCGTTTTGCCTCGCTCTTGGGAGTCGTAGATGGCGGCCCAGATCGACCCCCCCACCTGCCCGGTAACTGTGAATCACCATGATGTGGAGGCCTTACTGGATTCTGGTAGCCGGGTCACCCTGGTGCGTAAGGATTTGGTGGGCCCAACGTGTCTGACCCCGGGGAAAGTCCTCCCAGTTTCCTGTGTCCATGGAGACACCAGAGAATACCCCATTACTGAACTTACAATGACCAGCACACGGGGAACCATACACACGACGGCGGGGGTGGTTGATTCCCTCCCCGTCCCTGTCCTAATTGGACGAGACTGCCCAGCCTTTTACCCACTCTGGAGAGAGTCTCAGGAGAGGATAACCCGAGTACCTCGGAAACGGAGAGGCAAGACTCATCCTGGGAAGGCTCCGGTGCAATCCTCCGAATTACTCACTCCCGCCCGGGCTCTGATAGGGATGGCAGGTGCCCAGACCGACACAGAGACTGGTCCGGATACGGGAGAAGAGAACGCAGCCCAGGAAAGTGCTCCGTTCTCCAGTGAAGAAGACGTCTCAGGCACCCAAGAGCTTCCCCCTCTCACAGGCCAGTATGGTACGGCTCAATTACAAGATCCTACTCTTGCAAATGCCTTAAGAAATGTGCAGGTATTAGAAGGTGTAGTGTTAGGTGATAAGACAAACCCTACTTACCCCCATTTCGCAGTAAACCGGGGGTTAGTATATCAGATAGTCAAGAAAAATGATGAAGTGCATGAACAGCTCCTCGTGCCACAGCCCTATCGGGCCACAGTACTCAACCTAGCACACACACACCCGCTAGGGGCCCACTTGGGGGTAGAGAAGACTAAGGAAAGAATCATGCAACGTTTCTTTTGGCCAGGAGTACACAAAGAGATAGAGAACTACTGCCGTAGTTGCCCTGAGTGTCAGCAGGTTGCGCCAAAGCCCACATATAGAAACCCGCTCATTCCCTTGCCCATTATCGAAACTCCTTTTGAGAGGATTGGATTAGACATAGTCGGGCCCTTACCGAAAAGTTCCAGGGGACATCAATACATTCTGGTCATTCTGGACTATGCATCCCGGTACCCGGAGGCCATTCCGCTGAGGAAGGCTACATCCAGACAAATCGCCAAGGAGCTGTTCCGTCTCTCAACTAGTCTGGGAATCCCAAAAGAGATATTGACGGACCAAGGGACTCCATTCATGTCCAGGGTGATGAAAGAACTCTGTGCTTTACTGAAAATCAAACAGCTGAGAACCTCGGTCTACCACCCCCAGACAGATGGTCTAGTCGAACGTTTTAACAAAACACTAAAATCCATGCTGCGGAAAGCGGTAGGGGAAGATGGGCGCAACTGGGATCAGCTGTTACCATACATATTATTTGCGGTGAGAGAGGTACCTCAGTCTTCTACTGGTTTTTCACCCTTTGAGCTCTTGCTTTCCTACAGACCCAGAGGACTGCTCGACATCGCCAAGGAGGCCTGGGAGGAGCAGCCATGCCAACAGCGGACACTGATCGACCATGTCGGGGCTATGAGGGAGAGAATGAAGGCCATCTATCCCATGATGCGGGAACACCTGGAGGCCAGTCAGCGGCAACAGCAAGCCGCCTACAACAGATCTGCTCAACCCAGGGAGTTTAAGCCGGGGGACAGAGTGCTGGTCCTGGTGCCAACCGTTGAGTGTAAATTCCTGGCAACCTGGCAAGGACCATATGAGGTCATTGAACGCGTGGGAGAAGTAAACTACAAGGTGAGGCAACCAGATAAAAGAAAAACTGAGCAGATTTATCATGTTAACCTCTTAAAGAAGTGGCACGCCAGAGAGGCGATGTTCAGCTGTCTACCCCCCACAGAGACCAAGGAACCGGCGCGAGAAGAGGTTCAGCTGGGTCCAAATCTGTCCCCACATCAACGACAGATGGCCCTGGAACTCGTGGAGCAGAACCAGGATGCCTTCTTCGCTGCCTTTACCCCGACGAGGACGTCGGTCCCGAGGAGGGGGATGTGTGATGTCACGAGAGGCTGTGTCCTGGAGGGACGTTACATCCCCCTGAGATGGCTGCAAACCCAGACAGCTATGGCTCCATCTGCTGGTATGGTCGGGAACTCCACCCCTCTATGGCCAATCTTCCCACGCAGCTGAAACAGATCAGGAGCTGATGAGCTGGAGGTTTTGAAGGGAAGAGACACACTGAGAGTGAGTGTGTGGGTTGTGAAGTAACACAGTCTCCAACCTGGGCTCTCTGGAGGACAAGAGTGCTGCACGTCCACTTCCATGAGGAATATAAGGATTTGGAGATACTTACCTTTGGGAAATACTCACCTTTGGATATATTCGCCTGTGGAACTACGGGAGAGACATTGGGAAGGACTTTTTGCTGGGTTGGCCACTAGCTGCAACGTGGACTACAGTAAGGCTGGGGAAAAGTTAACTGAGCGAGTGAGAACTATGATTTTGGATGTGGAAGAGACATCCCTGAACTGTTAACCCTTAAAGAGCCACCAGAGAACAGAATTTGGTTATATTTTCGTTAATTTCCCAAGACCTTTAATAAAATCCTTGTTTTGTTTGAACCTTGTCTCCTTGCACTACTTGAGCAATCCCGCTGAAAGCTGTGTAGCCTCTCGTGACGTCACAACGTACACACACACACACACACACACACACACACACATTTGTACGCACGCACCCACAACTTACACATTCTCCTCTCTCTTTCTTTCAGGAACCCAGACGGTGATCTCGGCCCCTGGTGTCACATATACAGGAACATGCAGCTGACCTGGGAGCTCTGTGACATCACCAAATGCCGTGAGTATCTCTGTTACCCTGTTACCATGACTACTGTCCAATATGTCAACAGTATGCATCATCGTCCTCTCATGTGCCGGTCAAATGACCACTGTCTTTCTGCGAAGAAATGTCATCATCATCATCATTATCATCATCATCACCATCATCACCTACAGTAGCTTACTGTAATGCATGTGATGACTAAGAAGACAAGGAGTCAAATGTCTGTCGGGATTGCAATGAGTGAAATTGAGTGCATTTGCAACTGAGTATTTGATATCGAATGTCATATTGAGCAGTATCTGTTGTTTATTCTTTAGCGAGGAAACCTACTACCATCACTACTCTAGGCCCCAGGGCTCCCACCACTACCAACAACAGAGGTAGGAGGACAGCCACAAAACAACACATTACATTTACCTGTACACTTGTCTCCTTCCTCCACACCTCCCCCTCTCCTTCTCTTCCTCCTCCACACCAAACCCTCTCCTTCTCTTCCTCCTCCACACCAAACCCTCTCCTTCTCTTCCTCCTCCACACCAAACCCTCTCCTTCTCTTCCTCCTCCACACCAAACCCTCTCCTTCTCTTCCTCCTTAACACCTCCCCCTCTCCTTCTCTTCCTCCTTAACACCTCCCCCTCTCCTTCTCTTCGTCCTCCACACCAAACCCTCTCCTTCTCTTCCTCCTCCACACCAAACCCTCTCCTTCTCGTCCTCCTCCACACCAAACCCCCTCCTTCCCATGAATGTTGAGGTTTTTAAATCTAAAAACAGAAAACAATATATCGACTACCCCCCCCATAGGTACCTGTGGACAGCGTGCTGACAGCAATCAGAGTCGCCCCTCCTTACGTATCCTGGGGGGGGCCCAGCAGAGTGACATCACAGAGCAGCCATGGCAGGCAGCCATCAACGTGTTCCGGCCCATTCACAATGCACACTTCTACCTGTGTGGAGGGGTCCTCATAGACTCCTGTTGGGTCCTCTCTGCTGCACACTGCTTCGACAAGGGGTGGGTTTAATACACAAATGCGCACACACGCACACACACACACACACAACACACACACACACACACACACACACACAAGTGTGACTCACTGATCTGTTGTCTCTGCTAGGTTTAAACCAGAGCGTCTGCAAGTGGTTCTGGGCCGGACGTTTCGTAAGAACCCCTCCAGCAGTGACCAGATCTTTGAGGTGGAGAAGTACTGGACCCACGAAAAATTCAACGAGGAAACCTTTGACAACGACATTGGTGAGCCATTTTTACATTACATTTTAGTCATTTAGCAGACACTCTTATCCAGACCGACTTACAGTTAGTGAGTGCATACATTTTCATACTGGTACCCCGTGGGAATTGAACCTACAACCCTGGAGTTGCACGTACCAACTGTACCAACTGAGCTACATGGGACAACACAATGTTAAGCACTGACTCGCAAGAGGCTTGACATGATTATGTAGCATATGTGAAGAGCCATAAAGAACCATTGTAACCAAAGTAAACCACAATCCCTCATTCTCTCTTTGCTCTCCTCCTCCTCCTCCTCCTCCTCCTCCTCCTCCTCCCTTCCCTCCCCCTCTCCTCAGTCTTGCTGAAGCTGAAGAGTGATATTGGCCTGTGTGCTGTGGACTCCCCGGAGGTCATGCCCGCCTGTCTGCCTGACCCAGGCCTGGTACTGCCCGACTGGACTGAGTGTGAGATCTCTGGCTACGGCAAAGAGAAGGAGTGTAAGACAGACATCACCCTTTCTTTGAAATGTTACTCTCTTTTTTAAACTCTGCTCATGAAGCTTAGCTAAGTGTTGTTTCTGTGGTTTATTTTCTGATGCCCAGTAGAGGGCAGTAGCCTGAGGCACACTCAGGTTTTTGTGAAAGGGTGGAGAAGAATGTTGAAATACACTACATGACCAAAAGTATGTGGACACCTGCTCATCGAACATCTCATTCCAAAATCATGGGCATTATTATGGAGTTGGTCCCCCCCTTTGCTGCTATAACAGCCTCCACTCTTCTGGGAAGGCTTTTTAAAATGTGTATTATTATAATATTTGTTTGTATTTTACACCCTTTCTATCCACAATTTCGTGATATCCAATTATGATCTTGTCTCATCGCTGCAACTCCCCAACGGGCTCGGGGGAGGCGAAGGTCGAGTCATGCATCCTTCGAAACATGACCCGCCAAACCGCGCTTCTTAACACCCGCCCGCTTAACCCGGAAGCCAGCTGCACCCATGTGTTGGAGGAAACACTGTTCAACTGACGACCGAAGTCAGCCTGCAGGCGCCCAGCCCGCCACAAGAGCGTGATGAGCCAAGTAAAGCCCCCCCGGCCAAACCCTCCCCTAACCCGGACGACGCTGTGCCAATTGTGCGCCGCCTTTTGGGACTCCTGGTCATGGCCGGTTGTGACACAGCCTGGGATCAAACCCGGGTCTGTAGTGATGCAGTGCCTTAGACCGCTGCGCCACTTGGGAGGCCCCTTTCTGGGAAGGCTTTTCACTAGATGTTGGAACATTGCTGCGGGGACTTGCTTCCATTCAGCCACAAGAGCATTAGTGAGGTCGGGCACTGATGTTGGATGATTAGGCCTGGCTCGCAGTCGGCGTTCCAATTCATCCCAAAAGTGTTTGAAGGGGTTGTAATGGTGAAACAGGAAAGGGCCCTTGCCCAAACTGTTGCCACAAAGTTGGAAGCACAGAATCGTCTCGATTGCCATTGTATGCTGTAGCATTAAGATTTCCCTTCACTGGAATTAAGGGGCCTAGACCGAACCATGAAAAACAGCCCCAGACCATTATTCCTCCTCTACAAAACTTTACAGTTGGCACTATGCATTGGGGCAGGTAGCGTTCTCCTGGCATCCGCCAAACCCAGATTAGTCAGTCGGACTGCCAGATGGTGACGCGTGATTCATCACGCCAGAGAACGCGTTTCCACTGCTCCAGAGTCCAATGGCGGCGAGCCTTACACCACTCCAGCCGACGCTTGGCATTGTGCATGGTGATCTTGGGCTTGTGTGCAGCTGCTCGGCCATAGAGACCAATTTCATGAAGTTCCTGACTAACAGTTCTTGTGCTGACGTTGCTTCCAGAGCAGAGCATGTGAGCGAAGTTGAGCGGTTGGAAATCCCGCTCATCTCTCATGGAGCGGTGCGCAACGGCGATCCATGTCCTTTCCATGTTCTTTCCAACTGCTCCGCTCCGCTCTCACAGAAAAGAAACTCCAAATTCGCTCCATTCATTAAAATCACAATTTAACCAACACCCATCTTATTTTTGTGACTACCTGGATCTACCATTTGGTTTTGAAGTATTGAAACCAAACCATATCGATTTGGTGAAAAGCTGAAAGTAAGAAGCACACATAATTTCAAATAGGCTACATGTCATATTAAACAGCAAATAAACACTCTAAAAAGGTCAGGAGCCAGACAGGGAGCCTAAGAAGGAACGAAAATTAATTATTTAGGTTCTATTATTTCAATTATTTCAAGGCTATAGCCTACAAAGAAATACATTGTGAAACATTTGCGAGTGTGACACACTAGACTGGTAGGGACATAAAACGCTCAGCATTTAAACAACATTTAGTTGTATTAAATAATTAGTCTATAAATTGCGCATATAGGCTGTGACTTACTTAGAATGAAATACAAATTAAACGAAAAAATAACTTGTTTTTAGAAACACAAGTTTGGCCAGTCTGTGGCTTCAGGCTCATGCGATGGTGCCTGGAGAGCCGGCCAGCAGCGGAGAATATCCTCTCCACCCCTGCAGAGCCACTGGGGATACTAAACACCCTTTGGGCCACTCTTGCCAGGCTGGGCAGAGATACAGAGTTGTTTTTTATTTTTCTGTAGGTAGGCCTAAAGGTTTTTAGGCAAAATAACTCAATCAAAACGGAAAGCTTCTTGAACGTGGGAATATGCCAGGCCTATTGGGCCAAAATCAATTATGGCCTATTGTATAGATAATAGAACAAAAATGAACTCAATGTTTAAGAGATCTGATTTTTAGTTTATAAATACTTTGCTACAATGACACACTTAGTTATCTACCCACCTCGTTCCTTTCTTTTAGCATGGGGCACGTAGGTACACCATCATGCTTTCGGGATGTGTGTCTTTTCAGATTCCACAATGATTCTTTAGTTGTGGACACTACATCACCGCACTCCCTCTCTTGGTCCTTAACTTTGTAAGTCACCTAAATTTAGCACCTGTATGTTTTAGCAGTTTCTTTATGAAAATATTTAGCGAACTCCATGACAGTAGCTAAAGCAAAGGGCTATAGCAGCACACAAGTAGACTACAAATGCATGCTGGGCCGGGCATGCGAGAAGGCAGACACTCCAGCCTTTGGGAATTGTAGTGTCGAGTCAAATTGTTGCTAATAATGCTGTAACAAAGGAGTCCACTCATACTGAACTTTGATCATAAGGTTTATTCATATCACAAGATTTCAGCATAAGTTTACGGATGTCATGACCACCCGGAGAGCAGTGGTTCCCAAATTGCAATGTCTGCTCTGGTCTTCTTTGTTCAAACCCAGTATATATAATCTTCCCCAAAACATGGGTTGCTCCCTTTACTGTCCAATCCCCTGTCTTGTATGGGGCGTCACCCTAAAAACGGCTCTCTTTGAACCTAAATAAACATCCCCTCAGGTTCCACTTGAAAACATTAACAAAGTCATAATCTTAATACACTACATATTCTCGCACCGTGCTCCAGTCAAATTGGGCACGCTCCACTCCTCGCGCCGCTCCAGCGCCGCTCCGCTCCCATACTCTGTTCCAGAGGCAATTTGGAACTTGGTAGTAAGTGTTGCAACCGAGGACAGACGGTTTTTACGCGCTACTCGCTTCAGCACTCAGCGTTCCCTTTCTGTGAGCTTGTTTGGCCTACCAAGTTGCGGCTCAGCCGTTGTTGCTCCTAGACGTTTCCACTTCACAATAACAGCACTTACAGTTGACCGGGGCAGCTCTAGCAGGGCAAAAATTTGACTAACTGATTTGTTGGAAAGGTGACATCCTATGACGGTGCCACATTGAAAGTCACTGAGCTCTTCAGTAAGGCCATTCTACTGCCAATGTTTGTCTATGCAGATTGCATGGCTGTGTGCTCGATTTTACACACCTGTCAGCAACGGGTGTGGCTGAAATAGCCGAATCCAGTAATTTGAAGAGGTGTCCACATACTTTTGTATATATAGTGTACCTAAAGCTCCCGAGTGGCGCAGTGGTCTAAGGCACTGCATCGCAGTGCTAGCTGTGCCACTAGAGATCCTGGTTCAAATCCAGGCTCTGTTGTAGCCGGCCGCGACCGGGAGACCCATGGGGCGGCGCACAATTGGCCCAGCGTCGTCCAGGGTAGGGGAGGGAATGGCCGGCAGGGGATGTAGCTCAGTTGGTAGAGCATGGCGTTTGCAACGCCAGGGTTGTGGGTTCGATAAAATAATGTATGCGCTAACTGTAAGTCGCTCTGGATAAGAGCGTCTGCTAAATGACTAAAATGTAAAGCAGTGTTTCTTAATCCTGGTTCTGGGGACCCAAAGGGGTGCATACACTACATCTTTTTTTATTTAGCTATCTTTTTTTATTTAGTCTAGAGATAAATGTTATATAGGCTATAGGTGTTAGCGAGGGCATGGAGGAATGCAGGCCGACAACATGTGTCCAGAGCTTAACACCCTCCCCCTTCCCCTCTCTCCATAGTTGATGCGATGTACTCTGAGCGGGTGAAGAGGGGTCACGTGAGGCTGTGGCCTCATGACCGCTGTGTCCCTAATATCTTATCTGGGCGTCTGGTCACCTCTAACATGCTGTGTGCCGGGGACACCCGGGGTCTGGACGACGCCTGCAAGGTGAAGAGGGCTCTTCTTCTTTCACCTTCCTAAGACCCAAACACTCTCTGACTGCGTCCCAAATAGCACCATATTCCCTATATAGTGCACTACTTTTGACCATAGCCCTATGGACCCTGGTCAAAAGTAGGGCACTATATATGTAGGGAATAGGGTACCATTTGCCATGCAGTATGCAGCCCTAAGCCCCAAACACTCTCTGCAAGACTAAGCACTTAAATAACTAATTAGCTGGTATGATTGGAACAAGTATGTATCATGTTGGATGTTAGTGCTACTGATAATATTTATAAAATGTACTGTAGGCCTCCTGATGAACCATGACTGAACCACAACTGACACATGTCCCTCATCTCCTCCTCCTCCTCTCCTATGCAGGGGGACTCTGGCGGTCCCCTCGTCTGTCCCAAGGATGGCAGGATGACTCTGATGGGGCTGATCAGCTGGGGAGATGGCTGTGGGAAGAAAGACACGCCCGGGGTGTACACACGTGTTACACAATACACTGACTGGATCAGCAGCAAGAAACAGGAAACTAGCCAGTAAACAAACACACAAACATACACACAAACAGTACATACACCTGGAGAGAACTTGTGAGAGAATTCATCTGACTCTGTCATCAGAGAATTCATCAGACTCCTGTCCATCAATCACCATGAATGCCTTAACCGAGGAATGGACAAACACTCAATGCACAAGAGGAACCTCCAGTACTCCAATACATTCTGTGTTACGTATTGTTTAACTCTTGGGCTGAGAGGGAGAATGCAGTAAGGTCAGAAGAAACTCAGAACACTACACCTCGAAAGTGAAAATACTTTTACTCAGTCCAGCTCAGTGCCTTCCAGCTGATTCCTGTTCTACCCAAAGCTACATGTAAAGTATATATTTAGATATATGGCTCTGGTTCCACCACTCCATACGCAGCTCACAGAATGTACTTTGCACACAAGGTTCCATAGGAATGTATATAGCCACTCTCATGAACATTTTCCAGTTCATTTAGAGTTAATTTTACATGGGCGGCTTGCTGTCTGAATGTTGCAATGTTACCCTCCTACCCCACTATAGCACTAACCACAAAACAATCTGCTGGATCAGAGTCAATCGAAGACAGCGGCTACATTCCAAACTGAAAACCCAAACCCATTCCTCTGCATTTGTTGACTCCATCAGCACCTAACAGTTCTGAATGGGCGTAAGAAATATGGGAGGAAAAGCCTACCTTTCAGATGCTTGAAGGGCACGAATTAAGGGGTTGAGTTGTCAGATTGGAATATAGCCAGAGCCTGAACACAGCCACCATTATCTGTCTCCATTCCATAAGCGTTGGGTTGAGCCCAGCGATCAGCACATCCAGTCTTTTAATGTTGGTTTTATGCTGAAAAGGACTGGGAGGTGTTTGTAACTAACGAAAGCTCTTTCACTGCAAAGCTTTTGGACTCCACCTCCCTCAGATAGTACAATATTTGTTCATGTTTGAGTGAGTGTTCATATTATTTAGTATCTCAAAAAGATACACCCTCTCAAGGACAGTAATGTTTAATATTTTTATTTTACGTGTGTATTAAGTTAATATTTATGTCTATTCCTGTTACCGTTTTTTTCTACTGTAATAGTTTATGCAGTTTTTTTAGTAGTTCAGTGTGTCGAGTTCTGAAGAAGTTGTTTATAATACATTTTTGGGGCTATCATAACCTTTTTCTGAGAAAGACATACATCCATCTTTTTAAATAAAGAACATTTAAATAAAGTTTATGGTTACCTCTTCAATTTCTCTTGTTGTTACGGGGCTAATTCATTGACTAGAGTAGACCTACACTTCAACAAGGGTTCTTCTAAGATCTTCAAAGTTCTTCGAAGAACCTTAGGGTTCTTGGCACTGAAAATTGCACCCAAAAGGTTATTCCAAGAACCCCATAGGAGGTGGGGTTCATCGAGGAACCTCCTTAGTTGGTGGGGTTTCTTGCAGGAACCTAACTGCCCAACTGAAACATTTGGATTTGAATTTGAAAGGACAGCAGGTGCAGGCACTTAACTGAAAACTGTAAAGATCTCCTCAATTTAAGGTAAGGTTTGTCCCTTGTATGATCTAAATTGATATTGTTTTCTGATGACACTATCCATCTTTTCATATTTGTGCAAATCTTTCTAAAACAGAAAATGGACACAATTCAATGGATATCAATCAACAAAGAGGTAAGAATATGTACTGTAGGCTATAACAATATGTTGAAGGCTAGCTGTATTGGGTGCAGATGACTGAACTGCTCACTTTTGTGTCTGTCTGCAGGTATACAGACAAGGAGGCATACAAAGGTATGTCAGTTGGTATTGGTATGTTATGCAGATCACATTTACCATCCTCCTCCCTTACCACTACAATGAATATTCCCACAGGCCTCTACATTATGGACAAGGTATGTGTATGAAAACCATTATTATAACAGTTTTTTTCATTCACATTTACCACAAAAACCAATGTATGAATACTGTTGTGTGCATGTTTTGTTAATCATCTGTTTAACTACTATTTTTTGGATTCACAGACTTCACCCTCCCTACACCTCTGATGAATATAACAGGAAACCTGTTCGATCACCATGCACTGCAAAATCATTCTGGCTATGGATACGCAGAACATCAACACATTAACATCAACAGGCCAGAGGGTATAGTCATAGGACTTGGGGCTCTGCTGGGAGTTTACCTCATATTCAGATTTTTTTTATTCTGCTTTGCCACTAAAATCATAATGAACACTGACAACTACAATATTGTGTTATTGTTGTTATTGTTAACGTATTATTATTATTAATAATAATAATAATAATAATAATAGTAGGGGAGGGGGAAGTAGTTCAAATATTTACCCCAAAAGGTTCTTCAAAAGGTTCTTCGAAGATCCATTAAAAGGGGTTCTTTGAAGAACCCTTTTAAAGAGTTCTTCGAAGAACTTATAGGGGTTCCCCCACAGTTTCAATTTGAAGAACCCCTAAAGGATACTCCAGGAACCTTTACTTTTTAGAGTGTAAGGCCTTCGCCTAGACACACAAAAGCACATACATCACTTTCATTCATGTATCATCATGCCGGCACACATCAGATAACATGTTTGTAATACTAAGGCTAAAGGTGTATTGTAGCGCTGTTCATATAATCCATGCATCCACACAAAAAAATTGCAGTCGGGAAAGGCTCACATTCAGTTGGTCAGCACGTCCTCGCGCATATCGTTGTTAAATCTTAGGCCTATTGTTCCACAGGGATGCTGGCCCATGTTGACTCCAATGCTTCCCACAGTTGTGTCAAGTTGACTGGATGTCCTTTGGGTGGTGGACCATTCTTGATACACACGTGAAACTGTTGAGTGTGAAAAATCCAGCAGTGTTGCAGTTCTTGACACACTCAAACCAGTGCGCCTGGCACCTACTACAATATCCTGTTCAAAGGCACTTAAACATTTTGTCTTGTCCATTCACCCTCTGAATGGCACACATATACATTCCATGTCGGAGTTCCCTCAAGGCTTAAAAATCCTTCTTTAACCTGTCTCCTCCCCTTCATCTACAGGTGGCACAAGTTCCACACTAGTAGGGGGTACATACTGTACACACAGATCTCAACAGGTCAGTTACACAAGTGATGACTTGAAAACATGTTTACCGGAAGCCTGCACTTGAAACACATAGGCTACATATCTCTTGTTGATGGGCAGTGTAAAGTGCTGCTACCCAAATACCCTGGGCATGCTATGAATGAAGTGGTGAAGAGAAAAGGAAGCACTTTAGTTTACAGTGCTGAAATAACAGGGCGGTTCAATAGTCGCCAAGGCTGCAATAGAGGTTTGTCCATATTAGTCCACGTGTGACACTAACACCAAAGTAAGGCCTGAATGTTGGGATTGAATTCACCTCATTCCAAGACTCCCGGAGTCTATTTTGGAGTACTGGAAAGGTGATACTTCAAGCACCTCCTTTGTCCTCCCTCTCTCTCTCTCTCTTACTTTCCTCAGCTCCCTCTTCCATGCCAAACCTGATGGTGGCTAAAGTTAGCCCCCTTGGGCTAGTATATAAGGCCCCAAGGGGCCAACACAACCATGTCAGTCCCATCAGCTTGACGTAGGCTTCTCTTCTTGACCAACCAAAACCCCAACAAACTCTTAAGACATGGTGAGTGTGTTCGCGTACCTCTTATTGGGCAACAGTTTTTATGATCTAGGATTGTCTACGGTACACTGATAACTGAAAGCATCATTGATAGGATACCAAAGCAAACTGTATAATGGCACAGAAAATGGATTCTGAATTACATTTTAGAGGCTTCTAGAACAGTTTCCCAAATGGTGGTTCAGGACCCATTGGTGGAAGCTGGCTCCTCCTGAGCTAAAGACCCAAGACCGTCTCGTAGCTTAAATCTCTGGTTTTGTTGAATTGGTGCATCAAAAGGAAATACTCAAAGGATGTTTGGGGACCACTGCTCTAGAGATATTACAGAATCTTAGCCAATCTGAGGCTACAACAGAACAGGCCAAGTGTTTTTTTATACAACTCACCTTTCTATGAAAGCCTTATGCTGAGAAAGTGTGACTTGGATTCGTACAATTTATTCCGACGAAAGCTATAAGCACCCAGGCATAGAAATCTGAAGCAAAGCTAAGCATCACTGCCATGTGACTAATTGAAAGGCGGTTAACAATTTTGCAGAATGAGACAGAGCATCCTTAGAGGTCAATGACAATACATAGTCAATTCCTAGAGGGGATACTTTGTGCCCTTCCGGCACAATTGATGTTAATGACAGAGGAATCATTCTCAAAATATTGTTGGATTACCTTAGGAGTTCCTCTACCTCTTGCCACTGTGGAGGTCCAAGCCCTTTTGGCTCAGAATGACCAAGAGTGGCCTTTCATGGCCTAAACAGGCTGTTACAGTAAAATGTTGGTTGCGTTGGCTGTGTTGACCGTGAGTTAAACGGCATGTCCTGTTTATCGTTGACCCCCAGGCACCCAAGAAGGCCAAGAGGAAGCAGCAGCAGGGAGAGGGTGGATCCTCCAATGTGTTCTCCATGTTTGAGCAGAGCCAGATCCAGGAGTACAAGGAGGCTTTCACAATCATTGACCAGAACAGAGATGGCATAATCAGTAAGGACGATCTTAGGGACGTGCTGGCCACTATGGGTCAACTAAACACGAGTAATGAGGAGCTGGAAGCCATGGTCAAGGAGGCAAGCGGCCCCATCAACTTCACTGTCTTCCTCACCATGTTCGGCGAGAAGCTGAAGGGTGCTGATCCCGAGGACGTTATCGTGAGCGCTTTCAAGGTCCTGGACCCAGAGGCTACTGGCTTCATCAAGAAGGAATTCCTTGAGGAGCTCCTGACCACCCAGTGCGACAGGTTCACCGCTCAGGAGATGACCAACCTGTGGGCTGCCTTCCCCCCAGATGTGGCTGGCAACGTAGACTACAAGAACATCTGCTATGTCATCACACACGGAGAGGATAAGGACGATGAGTAAATCCACCTTTCTCAATCTCTCTACCTCTCTCCGTCCATCCCCCTCATTAACCCCCTTTTCCAACTCCGTGGCTTACGTGGTCTTGCTCCCCTCGCTCTTCTCTCCAGCTCTACCCTGCTAACTACGAAAGACTTGTCTCCTTTATTGAGATACTCCTTTGTCTAAGTTGAGAGGATTCAAGGCTTTGGGGTGTGTCCTGTGTGTGAGTATCAACAGGGGACAGTGGGATTCATTTTCAATAAATACATTTTGCACCATTGAAACTATTCCTCTCTATCCCTCTCCCTGCCTCCGATTCCTTCTCCTCTTCCCCATCCCTCACTTCTATCTCTCCCTGTCAAGTTGAACAGTTCATGCATCATACCTACATCATGTATGCATATACAGTTAAGTGTCTACAGACCAACGCTTTTACTCTTGGTGCTGTGGTGTATGCTCAATTGTTTATTTGAAACAAGTAGGCGATTGTTTTGTCTCAACTTGATGTGATGTAATCAATGGACTTGCCCCTATTCATGTACTCGAAAGAAGGAGCTTAAAAGGGACGAGTGCTGTACTACGGTTGAAAAAGAACAAAGCATGATTTAGCAGTGGATCCTAACTGCATTGTATGAGAGAGAGACGGCAAACATTGTGAGGAAGGAGGAAGGAGGAAGGAGACAAGGGGCGGCTAGCGGGGTCCAGGGGCATGCCCCCAC